ACTCGCCTCTCTTTACTTTCCCTGAAAGTGAATGGAACGCCGACGCTTACACTGTAATTACAGGGTGAGGAAAGGGAACTCCTTGCTTTGTGAAATTTCAGTACAAATCCCAGAGGTAATTATTATTTAGGCTGTACAAGCAAGTAACACGCCGTAGCTTCTGCAATCCCCATGACTTCCTAATAGAGAACTGTTACAAATCAGGCCTTGCTTGAACAAGGTTGAAGGTGCACTTTCAGGAAAAACAAACCAAAATACAAACTTGACCGGTGACCAGAGTTGTCAGGCCTGTTTTCAAACCGTCCCTCTGGACTCTTGAGGTTAACTAGACAAGGGCTCTGCCTGACAGCAGTCTTTCTTAAAAGCCCACATTGGGAGAATTGTTGGGTGTCTTCAATGGAAGACATTGATATTAGGGGTCTTTTGTTAGGAGAATGGAGCAGTCCAAAAGTGCAAGCAGCAATTTTAGATTTCAATTAATTTTAGCTTGGTCATGAAATCTCTCTGTCTGAGGTCCCATCTATACTGAACTGTGGACGTGACACTAAGTAAAGGTAAAGGTTTCCCTTTGACATTAAGTCATATTCAACTCTGGGGGGCCATTTCTAAGCCGAAGAGCCGGCGTTGTCCATAGACGCCTGCTAGGTCATGTGGCCAGCATGACTGCATGGAACGCCCTTACCTTCCCGCCAGAGCAGTACTTATTCATCTACGCACATTTTGCATGTTTTTGAACTGTTAGCTTGGCAGAACAGCGGGAGTTCATCCCACTCCCCAGTTGGAACTGCTAGTATTTTGGTCAGCAAGTTCAGCAGCTCAGCAATTTAACCCACTGTGCCACCGGAAGCTCCTTAGATTCAAACAGATAGAACTCTTGCCTGTTTGAGGCAAGTGCGAATGTTGCAATTAGGCACCTTGTTTAGCATGTAATGGCCTTGCAGCTTCACAGCCTGGCTGCTTCCTGGTTAAATTCTTTGTTGGGAGGTCTTAGCTGGCCCTGATTGTTTCTTGTTTGGAGTTCCCCTGTTTTTGAGTGTTGTCCTTTATTTATTGTTATGATTTTACAGTTTTTTTAGAATATTGGTAGCCAGATTTTGTTCATTTTCATGGTTTCCTCCTTTCTGTTGAAATTGTCCACATGCTTGTGGATTTCAGTAGCTTCTCCGTGTATTCTGATATGGTGGTTGTAGAGTGGTTCTGCATTTCTGTGTTCCCAAATAATATGCTGTGTCCAGGCTGGTTCATCAGGCGTTCTGCTATGGCTGACTTCTCTGGTTGAAGTAGTCTGCAGTGCCTTTCATGTTCCTTGATTAGTGTTTGGGCAATGCTGCATGTGGTGGTCCCTGTGTAGACGTGTTCACAGACGCATGGTATACGGTAGACTCCTGCAGAGGTGAGAGGATCCCTCTTGTCCTTTGCTGAATGTAGGGCCAGCTAACATCTCTCAACAAGGGATTCCCCCAGGTAAGAAGCAGCCAGGCTTTGAAGCTGCAAGGCCATTCAATGCTAATCCAGGTGACCATTTGCAACAAAAATTTGCCTCAAGCAGACAAGAGTTCTTTCTCCCACCCTGGACATTTCACAGATATGTAAACCTCACTAGTCTAGTTTCCAACAGCAGGCCCGTAGCCAGGATTTCGTTTTGAGGGGGGGGGGCTGATTTTTTTCAGGGGGGTTTCGGGGGGGGGGCTGAGTCTGAGTGAAAGAGGGTCTAGCCTAGCAAACCTTTTGTATCATTACCCCAATACCCCCATGCATATGGGATATATTGAGTATGGTGATCAGATCATGATATGAATAAACATAACAGTTTAAATAATGCACCAGTAAGGCCTTTTCGCGAACACCATGAGAATTTCGCGGGGCTGAAGCCCCCCGGGCCCCCCCCCCCCCCGGCTACATGCCTGCAGCAGATCCCTCAACCTCTGTGGATGTCTGCCATAGATGTGGGTGAAACTCCAGGAGAGAATGCTTCTGAAACATAGCCACACGGTCTGGAAAACTCATAGAAACCCAAAAAAACAATAATGGAGGGTTGACCCCATCTTTGCTTGAAATTGATTAGCAATTTCTCCTTAATCAACATCATGTTTAAACACTTGCATCAGGCCCATTTTTTCCAACTGTTCACAATAAAGTCCTACAAAAAGAGATATCGTCACTGGCCTGGTGGGAAGACATAGCCTGTCACAATGGTGGCGCCAATTGAAAAAGTCACTTTCCACTGCCTTTATGGGACATGTGATTTAGAAGTCTCTTCCTTCGTAGGACAGAGTCAGCCCTAGACACACAATATAAAGGCGAGGTTAAACATATTTCCCTCAGAGCTGCTAAGAGGCAGGATGTCTGGGATTCCTTACCCCCAAAGACTATGCCCCTGTGAGGGAAATGAAATAGAAACAATAGAACTCATTCTATTGCAGGGCCACTATTACACAGACACACAATACCAATAATAATAATGATGATAATAATAATAATAATAATCATCATCATCATCTTTATTTTATATCCTGCCACCATCTCCCCAAAGAGGACTCGGGCGGCTAACATGAGGCTAAGCCCAAAAATAACAATACAACAAAACAAAATTCAAAGAAACAAAATAGCACTGAAATAAACACATGAAATGACAAAATAAACAGGGTTTTGTCGAAGGCTTTCATGGCTGGAATCACTGGGTTGTTGTAGGTTTTTTGGGCTATATGGCCATGTTCTAGAAGCATTCTCTCCTGACGTTTTGCCTGCATCTATGGCAAGCATCCTCAGAGGTTGTGAGGTCTGTTTCGAACTAGGAAAATTGGGTAAATAAACAGTCTCAAAATAGTATGATAGAGAAGTGAAACAATGATACATATCATTTTTCATATTTTTGTGTTCTGGCAGAACTATTTAACAGCTTGATACTACTTTTAAACTGCCAAAGCTCAATTCTTTGGAACTCTGGGATTTGTAGTTTGTTGTGGCACTAGAGATCCCGAACAGAGAAAGGGAAACATCCCACAAAATGACAAATCCAGTAAAAAAATTCCATCATGAATTATTTATTACAATATTTTCTAATTAATTCCATGTATTTTGTCTTGTGTTGTAAATGTGCTGTAATTCTGTTTCCTCCGTGTTGTTATATTTCTAAATCTGATTGTATAAATTTGTTAATGTGTTTCTATGTTGTAATTTTAGTAAAGCACTTCAATGCTTTTGCACAGAAATTTACAACCCAGATGTGTGATTGATTTGCTCATTCAGTAAAAAGAAAAAATACTTTAAAAAATCCCATCCTTCCAAAGCACTGAACTCTGACAGTGGAAATGGTGTCAAACTGCACTGAGTCAAGAGTGTAGATGCACACAGAAAAAAAAGGGAAGCCGGGTGATGACAGGTCAACAAACGACCTCCTGAGAAAAATGTATAATATCACAAAGGATTACCACCTCACCCGCCTCATAGGAAACCTGCTACAAAACAGGAGCTTTTTTGTTGAGTTCCAGGGCCAGAGAAGCAGATGGCGGAAACAGAAGAACGGCCTGCCTCAGGGGAGCGTGCTTGCCCCATCCATGTTCAACATCTACACAAATGACCAGCCACTGCCAGAAGGGACAGAGAGTTTCATCTATGCTGATGATCGTGCCATTACAGCTCAAGCAGGGAGCTTTGAGCTGGCTGAACAGAAGCTTTCCGAAGCTCTATGTGCTCTTACTGTCTATTACAGGGAAATCCAGCTGACCCCTAACCCATCTAAAACACAGACATGTGCTTTTCATCTCAAGAACAGACAAGCATCCTGAGCTCTGAGGATTACCTGGGAAGGAATCCCACTGGAGCATTGCAGCGCACCCAAATACCTGGGAGTCACTCTGGACCGTGCTCTGACCTACAAGAAGCACTGCCTGAACATCAAGCAAAAAGCGGGTGCTAGAAACAATATCATACGAAAGCTGACTGGCACAACCTGGGGATCACAACCAGACACAGTGAAGACATCTGCCCTTGCGCTATGCTACTCTGCTGCTGAGTATGCATGCCCAGTGTGGAACACATCTCACCACGCTAAAACAGTAGATGTGGCTCTTAATGAGACATGCCGCATTATCACAGGGTGTCTGCGCCCTACACCACTGGAGAAATTACACTGCTTAGCCGGTATTGCACCACCTGACATCCGCCGGGAAGTAGCAGCCAATAGTGAAAGGACCAAGGCAGAGACATCTCCAGCTCATCCCGTTTGGGTATCAGCCAGCACGTCAACGACTTAAATCTAGAAATAGTTTTCTAAGATCTACAGAGACACTGCTGGAACACCTCAGCGAGAGTCCAAAAGTGGCAGGCTCAAACCCAGAACCTCAACCAATGGCTGATACCAAATGAGAGACTCCCCTGGGCACACAGAGGACTGGTCGACTTGGAAGGCGCTGAACAAACTGCGCTCTGACACCACGAGATGCAGAGCCAACCTCAAGAAATGGGGCTACAAAGTGGAATCCATGACATGCGAGTGTGGAGAGGAGCAAACCACTGACCACCTGCTGCAATGCAACCTGAGCCTGCCACATGCACAATGGAGGACCTCCTTGCGGCAACACCAGAGGCACTCCAAGTGGCCAGATACTGGTCAAAGGACATTTAATCAACTACCAAGCTTGCAAATTTTGTGTTTTGTCTGTTTGTTTTGTTCTGTTAGAAATGTAATACAATTGTCTGTTTGCCCCTGACACAACAAATAAACAAACGACCTAGGAAAGAAAGGTCTTTTTCCCTCTCTTTTTTTTATGAATGAACGCGCGCAGATCTTTTTTAATCACATGGCCCCGCCCACCTCCTGCTTGTCCACGCCCCCATTGTGACGTCGGCGTTCCATTCGCTGCCAGGGGAGGCTAGGCCCCGCCCCTTCCTAGCCTCCCTGGCAGTGAATGGAACGCTGACATCACAATGGAGGCGTGGACAAGCAGGAGGTGGGCGGGGCGGGGCGATTTAAAAGCCCCGCCCATGAGAACCGCAGCCGCTTCATTCTTAAATCCCCTGCTGCTGCTGCTGCTGTTGTTGTTGTTGTTGCTGGTGCAGCTGCGTGGCGGCCATGCGCTAAGGCCATGATGGTGGAGCCCCTGGGCGAGATGGAGTGCGGCGCCTTGCACCGCCTCCTCCTGCACTCTTCTTCGGGGTCCAAGTGCCTCCTGCTGCTGGACTGCCGCCCCTTCCTGGCTCACAGCGCGGGCTTCATCCGCGGGGCGCTCAACGTGCGCTGCAACACCATCGTGCGGAGGAGGGCCAAGGGCGCCGTCAGCCTGGAGCAGATCCTGCCGGCCGAGGAGGAGGCCCGCGCGGGGCTGCGCGAGGGCCTCTACGCCGCCGTGGTGCTCTACGACGAGCGCTGCCCGCGCGCCCAGGCCCTGCGCGAGGACAGCACCCTGGCCCTGGTCCTGCGCGCGCTCACCAGGGACGCCCAGCGCGCCCGACTCGCCCTCCTCAAAGGTCAGCAGGCGCAGGCAGGCCGGCCGCGCGCGCATCTGTCGGGAGGGATCGGGCCGTGCCCTTCGTTGTGTCAGAACGAGGGTGGTGGGACAGGACGGCTGCTGGGGTCTCCTCCAGCTCTAGGAATCTATGGGCAAGCAGGCAGTCCCCAAGTTACAAGCAAGATAGATTCTGTAGTTGAATTTGTATGGAAGTGGGAACAGGTACATTTCTAAGTGTGACTCCAGCCAAAGATATATTATTTATATATATACATATATATGTGTGTGTGTGTGTATATATATATATTAGATATATATATATTATATCAAATACTGTGTGTGTGTATATGTATGTATGAAATATAGAATCTGTATGGAAGTCAGAACGTTTTTTCAGTCAAATATATAGCATATTATATATAAGATAGATACTATAACAAATACTATATATATATATAATATAAAATATAATAGTTGCATTGGTATGGAAGTCAGAACATTTTAAGTGTAACTTCAGCCAAAGATATATATAAGATACTAGCCGTCCCTTGCCACGCGTTGCTGTGGCCCACATGGGGGTTCTGTGTGGGAGGTTTGGCCCAATTCTATCGTTGGTGATGTTCCGAATGCTCTGTGATTGTAGGTGAACTATAAATCCCAGCAACCACAACTCCCAAATGTCAAGGTCTATTTTCCCCAAACTCCACCAGTGTTCACATTTGGGCATATTGAGTATTCGCGTAGAGTTTGGTGCAGATCCATCATTGTTTGAGTCCACAGTGCTCTCTGGATGTAGGTGAACTACAACTCCAAAACCAAAGGACACTGCCCACCAAACCCTTCCAGTATTTTCTGTTGGTCGTGGGAGAACTGTGTGCCAAGTTTGGTCCAATTCTATTGTCGGTGGAGTTCAGAATGCTCTTTGATTATAGGTGAACTGTAAATCCCAGCAACTACAACTCCCAAATGACAAAATCATATTTTTTGAGTGATGGTCACTCCTTGTGTTGTGAGACATTTTGTTGCCAAATTTGGTGTGATTTCGTTGATTGGTTCTTTGGTTTTTAAGGTACTCATTATGCACAGAGCATTCTTGTATAAATAGATATATTATATCAAATACTTTGTGTGTGTGTGTGTGTGTGTATGAAAAATATAATAGTTGAATCTGTATGGAAGTCAGAACTTTTAAAAAGTCAAATATATATTATAGCAAATACTGTAGTAGTAATAATAATAATCATCATCATCATCATCTTTGCATCAGATAGGGAAGGGTTAATACCCCATGTGGTGTTTGTTTTGGTGTCTGTGCTCCTCTTCAGAAGATTTTTTGTCTTGTTTTCTGTCTCTGTGATAATTGGATTTTGAAAAAAAAATGGATTGTAAATGTGATAAAGCTTCAGGAGAGACCCCTTTTCCCCATGGTAACCTTCTGGAGTGAATATCCCTTCCTAAGGGTAGATTTCTCTCACTTCCTGTTGTCTTACCCACCCCTCCTCCTCTCCTCCTCCTCCTCTATTTCCCTCTTTATCTCTCCTGCAGGAGACTCAAAGTGGCTCAGCATATAATTTAAAATATAAAGCTATGCAAACATTAAAACAGGATTAAATATAAAACAGTATTTTTTTAATTCCCAGTTTAAAATCATTAAAACACATTCAGAGTTAAAAACCACAGCAACCTGTGACTTGATCTTAGGGTCCCAACTGGCTTTAGCCCAGGTAAGGGGAAAACCAGGCGGGGGGGGGGGGGGGGGGATGCGGCCCCTTGAGCTCTTTCCTCAGGCCTTCCTCTCTCTCACCATCCTATTTATTATTATTATTATTTATTTATTTACTGTATTTGTATACCGCCTTTCTCAGCCAACTGGCGACTCATAATTGGATGGATCCTATCCTTCCTTCTGTCTCCCTTCCCCTCCTTCTTCCCTTCCTTATTTCCCTTGTTCTCCTTCCCTCCTTTCCATCCTTTCATCCTTCCTTCCCTCTTTTCTCCATCCTTCCCTCTTTTTCCTGCCTTCCCTTTTGTCTTTCTTTCCTTCCTTCACTCTTCCCTCCTTCTATTCTCTTCCTTCCTTCCTTCCTTCCTTTGTCTTTTCTTCCTTCTCTCTTCCCCTCCTTCCTTCCTTCTCCCTTTTCCTTCCTCCTTTCCTCTTGGGGATGTTTAGCTGGGAGAAGAAAAGGTAGAAGGAACATGAGAGCCATGTTTTAAGATTTCAAAGAGTGTCCCATTGAGGAAGGGGGGTGTGACTTTCTGCTGCTCTAGAGACTAAGGCACAAGGGAGCAATGGGTTCAAATGGCAGGGAAAGAGATTCAACTGAAAAGATTAGAAAGAATTTCCTGGAGAGCGGCATAGGCGGCCTTAGGAGTGTGGAGTCTCCTACTCTGGGGGCTTTTCACAGAGGCTGTCTATTGGGAGTGCTTTGATTGTGTCATCCTGCATGGCAGGGGGTTGAACTGGGTGCTCCTTGGGGGTCTCTTCCAACTTGAGGATTCTAGGATTCTATGTCAGGAGTTGGCAAGGGGGGGGGGTGTCTCATGAATACACTTTTTCTCTCTCGTCCACCATCAACCCCCTCCCTAACCAGCCCATCCTGCTCTGGGCCCCCAGGTTAGAAAGTTGGCCCATGCATGCTTTAGTCCCAGAGAAGTGGGGGGTTTGTAATAATAATAATAATCTATATAAATAAAAATGTAATGTTCGTTTGTGGGATTAACATAACTCAAAAACCACTGGACAAATTGACACAAAATTTGGACTCTACACCCTAACAGACCAACGAGTGACCATCACTCATAAACCCCTCCCAAAAAATAGCAGAAAGGACTTAAAACCCCAAAAAGCTAAATGACGATATAGCGCATGTGTGAAAACGACAGCTCCCAGCATCCCCTAGACCAGGCCCTTTAAGAGGAGGATGATCCAAATGCACTGCTTCCAAGCTGCAAGCTTTCTTCTCCTTGGATTTCTTTGAGAGCATCCCAATCCCTGCATATTTCCAATTTCCTATTCCTGGACTGCAACTCCCAGCAATCCTCCAGATAGATAAGATAGATAGATTAAATAGAGATAGATAGGTAGGTAGATAAATCAATCAGGAGGACTGCTCAAAGTTACAGTCCAAGAATAGTTAGAGAAGGAAGAAAGGAGAGAAAAACGGAGAGCAAGGAAGGAAAGAGGTAAGAAGAAAAGAGAGAAGGAAAGAAAAAGGGAAGGAAGGAAGGAGAGAAAGAAAGAGAGAAAGAGGGAGGGAAGGTTGGCCACAGCAATGCGTGGCGGGTACAGCTAGTAGTAGCAATAATAATAATAATAATAATAATAATAATAATAATAATAATAATAATAATAGAGTTGTTTTAGGTTCAGGCTATATGGCCTTGTTCTAGAGGCATTCTCTCCTGACGTTTCGCCTGCATCTATGGCAAGCATCCTCAGAGGTAGTGAGGTGATTCCTGCCATGAAAGCCTTCGACAATACAATAATAATAATAATAATAATAATAATAATAATAATAATAATAATATATTAACCTTCTCTCCTTGGGGCTCCTTGTATCTGTCAGACCCCAATCAACATTGCTCTATAATTCAGTTTTTGAACCCAGATCATCGGCTTTGAACTGGATTCACATAAACCAGTTCAAAGCAGATAATCTGGATTCAGAAACTAGATTATATGGCAGTGTAGATCCAGCCTCAGGCTGATTTTGAAGAGCTCCCCCCCCCCCCCCAATTCCTCTATCTCCAAACTAATTGCTTAATTCTGATGCCAGTTTTATTTTGACTCCTGTTATGAATTCCTTGCTTTGTTTGTTATGGTGCAAAAAACAAAGCAAGCATAGGCCTCATCTTACCTGGAGAACTATTGCAGTTTGACACCACTCTTAGAATCATAGAGTTGGAAGAGACCTCATGGGCCATTCAGTCCAACTCCTGCCAAGAAGCAGGAAAATTGCATTCAAAACACCCCCGACAGATGGTCATCAAGACTTCATACTTTGCAATTAAAGGAGTTGTAATTTTACAAGGTCTTCAGTCTTTGTAAAGAGTACTGGAAGTCTAAGCAAACTACAAATCCCAGGTCTCCTATGGTATTGAGCCAGATGGTGCGTTAATTAATTTTGCAGTGTGGGACCAGCCCTAGAAGAGACCCATCCTTGCATTAGAAAACCCTGTGAAATTTACAGGAGTTGCCAGAAAGGGACAGGGGACATGATGGCACTTGTGTTATATACACACGCACATGGCCTGGATCTTGAAAACAGTGTAAAAAGGAGATAGGAGGGGGGAGTGTATTGTATCTGGAGGTTGTTTCCTGCCTGACTTCCCTTTTATAGCTCTCTCTGTCTCTTTCTCTCTGCTGCGGGTGACCTTTTGAACTACCAAACATCCTGGCTGGCGTGGAAGGGAAGGGGGGTTGGGGGATGCTGCTGCCCCATTGTTCCCTGGAGGGCCTCCGCAGGAGCCATTGAGTCCATTTATAGCCCTCCTTCCCACTGCCCCTAGATACATGCATGTGCCTGGCAGAACAAAACCTTATGCCGATTTGTATCTTCTTGTGACAATGTGTTGTGAATGCCACAAAAGGAGAACTTTTCTGTGGCATCGCTTTTTTCTCCCATGTTGTGGTTCCTGTTTTTTTTTTTTAATGAGGCAGAAGTTGTAGAAAGTTTGAAAATGGACCGATACAAGTTAGGATTTGCTTTAGAGATTAGGACTCAGTGGAGCAATGGGTTCAAATGACGGGAAAGGAAATTCTACCTGAATATTAGGAAATACTTCCTGACTGTAAGGGCTATTCAGCAGTGGAACTCTCTGCCTTGGAGTCTGGTAGATAAACACGGGCAATCCATGGTTCTAAATGGTTCTAAAGGACCTCACAACCTCTGAGGATGCAGGCGAAACGCCAGGAGAGAATGCTTCTAGAACATGGCCATACAGCCTGAAAAACCTACAACAACCCCAGTTCTAAAGTACTTAAAAAACTAGGTGGTGCTGGTGCTTTGCTTCTAAAGT